TATATATATATATATATATATATATATGAGCAATTTTTACCCAAAAGCAGGCAAAGCAGGCAGGCAGATTAAGTTGCTCACAGAATCACAGATTCACTTAGAGATTTACCATTCTTCAATCTGCTGCCTGAGACTGTCACATAAAATTTGCTTGCAAGCAAACTCACAAAATTAACTCTATTTATCTATCTGCAATCGGCTACCTGAGTCTGCACTGAAAAGCTTCAGTCCTAAGGAAGGTTCAGCTCTGCTTTTAGATTAGATAAAAAGCAAGAAATCCAAGTATTTCCTGCTTTCTAGATAATCTAAATCTCCCAGCAGAGCAGAACAGCTGATAGTTGGGGCGGGTGGGGGAAGGAAAAATAGCAACTTACCAAACCAGGCAAGTTGGATGGCTCGCATGCCAGGTAAAGGAGTAAGTGGGCAGGGAGGGGAGGCTCCAGCCAATGGAGTGATTTGCCAGTTCTCTGCACTGCGGACAATCATAACAGGTGTGTGTGCGGTGTTTGCAAGAAATTATCAGCTGTGCTGCCTGGACAGCTGACAAAGCGCTGCGTTTGGATGCGCAATGTTTGAAAATCCTCTTGTTTCCTGCTTTTTCAACCTCAGACGTGCTGTGCAAAGCAGCTGAGGAGGGAAAAGGAGGGAATAAAGGACAGCCTAGAGCCCGGGCAGGCGGGTGGGCCAAACACCAAACCGGTTCAGTGTCAGAAGCTCTTCACAGCTACAGGTTCTATAGAACCGGGCCGAAGTGGTAGCATCTCACCCCTGGGTTTCATGTTTCGGCATGATTAGAACTTGTGGTCTTTCAGGTTCTGGCCTTTACTATTATACCAAACTGAATTTCTAAAGAGTTTATCCTAGGCATCTGTATTTCTTGTTCCTCAATTTATTCAATGTTTTTCTAGGTCACATTTAAAATCAAACTTCTGATGATGTGTTTATTCTTTCTAAATTGTTGAATGTATCTGTTCACTCTTTCACTTTGGGAAGCATAATGTTGAGCATGAATATGTCCACACTTTACTGTGTCTGAAAATGTGATATATGGCTGCATAGAATATAAAGAAAGCAAACTGTTAGATCTAATGTTTGATGAATAATGCTATCTGATGTTCTTACAAAAATCATTCCCACACTGTAAGACGCAGGATTTCCCTGCTTTAATGCTACATATTGTATTTGGATTTTGTACACAAGAAACATATTTGTATTTATGTCTGTGCATGTCCATAGACATTATTATTAAACATGGTACTGTTTATTGGGGACTTGACCTTCATAGTATTAGGTCTACTATAAATGAATTGGAGAAATACAGATGATCACTAAATGGCAGTGAAGAGATATAAACTAACTCTTTGTTCCTCTTTAATGGTCATCCAAAGTTTTGCAGCTCAGAAAGGCCTAATTTTATAAAGAGTATCTGAGAATAAAAAGTTATTGGCAATCCATGCAAAAAATCAAACTGAAACCTTTGGATCATCTACAAGTAAACAAGATAAAATAAAATGGAAACAATTCTGTCAGTTCTATAACTTCCCTCATCTAAACTATTTGAGGCAATGATGCCCCTTCATTGGCATGAAGATCGGTGTCAAAGGGAAATCAACTTTTACAGCCAGACAGCAAAATCTGGCTGGACATCTTTGAAGTCATTGAAGGTAAAAGAACGTGATCTCCGTCGAAGAGCTGAACAGCCTAAAGGTCTGCAATGGAGTAAGTCTAAGTAAAGGTTAGACTTTAAGAAGCGTGGATAACTGTCTTGTTCCATCAGGGCATAAATTTTGTTCTGTGCAGCATCAAACGTATTGTGCGTTGGATGAACCATATTTTGATTTACAGAGACTTTGGTATTAAAATCAAGGTTGACCTAGAGAAAAAGAAGAAACCATTTGATAAAATGGATGGTTGTTGTTTGTTCTCAGTCTTTCCATTTAAGGTATTAACTTCCAATCCTATACATTCTTACCCAAGTATTATAAAGAAATCTGCTACATTTAAATTTTATGAGAAGCCTGGTCAAGAAATGTGATGAGGATATTTTTAGTCTCATCCACGCTCAAGTTTCAGTAATGAGTCCCCAGGGAGTTATATGTCAATTGGTATCTATTTGAGAAACTGTAAACACCTGCCTGCAACACCTTGACAAGCTGGGTCTTTGCCTGGGATCACATGGCAGCTCTAACATACTAAAGACAAGTGCAACATCTGCATTCTATATACTCTGAGGCACTTTCTGGAAATCAAATTTAAAGTGCTGAGCATCCGTATGACAAGCATGTTCAACAAAACTGAAGTGGGGCACAGTAGATTTTCAGTGACAAGAAGTGTGTGCTCTTATTTTTTTTCTAAAAGTTGAACAGAGCACAGTAAAGCATTAACAATGTTCATCACTTATCTAATAGGATTTAAAATGGATACCTTCCCAGCTGTACTAATGTTATATTATTTTTGGAAGATGAATAAGGTTAGTTTTAATCTGTGTTAACTTTCCCAGGGAGGGAGAAAAAAACATTTCCATAACTTAGCTTGTTCAATTTATATGATCACCCACTTGATTGGAATGTTCTAATCATTGCACAGATCATATAGACTCTTAACATACCTTGACATACAGTACTATGTAGCTGCTTTTCTTTCTTGAACACATTTCACATGATGAACATTTGATAATTAACTATAAATGGCATCTAAGCCAATACATGAAGTGTATGTGTATCAGTGGTGGGATTCAATTTTTTTTACTACTGATTCTGTGGGTGTGGCTTGTTGGGCGTGGCAGGGGAAGAATACTTTAAAATCTCCAGTCAGAGGTGGTATTTGCTGGTTCTCTGAACTACTCAAAATTTCTGCTACTGGTTCTCCAGAACTGGTCAGAACCTGCTTAATACCACCTCTGATGTGTATATTTATTTACTACTATATGTAGTTATTATGCAATCCTTAACTCTTTGCCTTTTGAACAAATCTGTAATTATTTTTTTAATCTGCTTAAAGCATCACAGTTATTATTCTGAATGCTGTACTTAAATTGGGGATTTCTTTTATTCATTTGTCTTATCTGAAATCTTGCCAATATTTTAATAATAACTTATATGAACTAATAACCACACCACTAAATATTGCTTCAGGGGACCAATGAAGAATAATTATTATACAATACAATAAAATAAAAAAAATCTTATACAAATAGCAATAAAAATAGGCAGATAAAGTTCTTGGCAAGTACATATCTTCATTCTTTATTGTTGTTTCACTTCTGGGATACTCTTGTACTAAATAATCTTAACCATTTTCAGAGATTGATACATTCCAAATGATATTCAATTGGACAAAATACAAAGCTATTGCAAATTTTCTTAAAAGTAAGTTTCCCCATGTACACTGATTTTTGTTGGGAGCAAGAGCTGAGATTTAGGGGTGGCGTCAGGAGTGAGCTTCAAAAATTTTAGCAGAGGGTTCTCTGCTGGGTGGGCATGGACATGGCCTAGGCGGCCTCCTGCACCATGGCGTGTGTGTTTTTTTGCCCTACCCTGGCTCTGGAGGCTTTCCTCGAGCCTCTAGGATGGTGAAACGGCCTCCCTAGGCTCCAGAGGCCCCCTGGAAGCTGGAAACAGGCCCATTTCTGGCCTTCCTGAATTTCCAGGATACACATTTTTCACCCTCCCCAAGCCTCTCTGTGCACCCTGCACTTACCTGCATCCAAAATGGGCCGTGTGGGAACTCCTGGGAGGGTTGGGGTGGGATGGGTGAAGCCAGCTAGAGTGAGATTTGGGGGTTCTCCAAACTCTGTGGAATCTTAGCTAGAGGATCTCCTGAACTCCCGCAAACCCCCAGCAGTCCACCCCTGGGTGGGGTGGAGGGCAGAAAAGTCATGTCATGGACATTACCTTAACATCCTCTCCCTGCAGACATAATCTTTAAGGATTTAAAAGACCAGTAGTGTTAAGAGAACTACTTTCTCTGTACCTCTTTTGGCGATTCTCTTTCAATAAACGTCTCATAAATTGTCTTTGCTTTGAGTGGAAGTTGCGTGGCATCTTTGCTTTTCCTATATTCTTCACATGCCATCCAAAACTCAATGTTCTCTTCACTAAACTCACTTCTCAAAAACTTGATGAATGCATCTAAGCCAGCTACAAAATAAACAATATGTAATCAAAGAAACAGCAAATAAAACAGGATGACATTTTTTTACTACCATTTTCAGTTAACTCTGTTACCAATTAACTCTCTCCCTAAATTAGACATTTTTGTTATTTTTTTTAGAGTCAGTCCTGGAATAATAACTGTGATTTGCATGGTAAACGATAAGCAAAAATAGTGTCCCAGACTATTCTTTCACTGTGTGGAAGTTCATTTTGAATAAATAAGAAAAGTTTTTGGAAGAATCAGAGCTTAATTTGAGAAAAGTAAATGCAGTTTTCAGTTGAAAAACATCTAATTTAAGGACAAACCCTAGATGTGAATGGATTGCCTAAATATGGCAGATTATATTCTCCTTCAGGCTGACAAAGTGGTGAAGCTGTGCACTCTTTCACACACAGCCTGTTCTCAGTAATTTTCAGGGGTTCCTGATACCATTGTGCAGTTTCAGTACTTCATCACCTTGAGGAAGGACAATGCTATGCACCCATTTTAGCAATAGGTAGTCCATTTATAAGTATGACTTCCCATTTAAATATAAGCTCGGGTTAAAGATAGAGGTAGGGAACAAAACTCCTTCTTAATTTATGGCTCCCTGTAATAAATATGCCATTTTCTTTCAATGTGGCCCTTGTGTGTGGTCTAAGAATGGACAGATTAGACTATTTAGATCAATGTCAATTTCAAATGGATTCATTTATATATTAATTATATATGCATATTCATTTGTAATTTCAAAACCATCCAGCTTCACATCCAGCACATATTTATTTCAACAACATACCGCATACACACACACACACACACACACAAACACACACACACACACACACACACACACACACACATATATATACCGTGTTTCTCATAAAATAAAGCTGGGCCTTATTTTTTTTTTGAACCCCCCTCAAAATGGCTATGCCGTCTTTTCATGGGTGACTTAATTCCCCCCCTTGCATCCTCGGGTGGGCGGGCGGTGATGGCTTGGATGTTGACCTTGGCATTGGTGGGACACTTCATATTGGGAGACCTTCCGCCACTGTTGCTTTCACTTTTCCCATGCTGCTGCGGCTTTTAGTGCAGCGCCATGGCATTTGGCACAGCCACAAATAGCCAGCCAGGGCTCCTCCCTTCAACTGGAGCCTGGCAGAGACACTCGGCTTCAGGAGATCCTGTCGCCACCTTCCCTTCGCCTTCGAAGGCAAAGCCAATTCTTTTAAAAATGACACCCTACTACTGGTACAACAAAGCCTCCCCTGCCCGAGAGGGCAGCCCAACCCCACGTGGGGAGGTGAATCTCCCGGGGTCACAGCGCAAGATCGGCCCACTTCGGAAGAAGTGCCCAGCTGCCATCCCTGCCTGGCGCTGGGCAGAGTGTGAAGAGCTTCGCCTGGGGTGCCCAGTGCAGCTGACAGGTGGGCCCTCCTGCCTGGCGGTGGAGCTCTCACCAAGGCAGTGAGCACCTCCCCTCTGGGCCCTCCGCTCATCGTGCCAGGGCAATGCCAGAGCCGTGTGGGCTGGGTAGAGTCAGGAAAGCGAGGCGTGGGTGGATGCCCGCCTGCCAAGCGAAAGAGCTGGGTGGACCCGAGCTTGGCTTCCTTCCCAAGTCCCTCCAGCCCAAACCTGAAGGGGCCACCAGGAGAGGCTGCCCGAGGCAGTGATAGTGCCCACCCATCCACAGACAGGGAGGTGAGGCGACGGCAGCGATGCTTCCCTGGCCGGTGGGTCTGGCAGAAAGAACCCGAAGCCATCTATCCTTTCCACCCCTCACCCAGCCTGTCCCCATCCCGACGCATCTCCAAATGTTCCAGCAGCCCTAAATGCTGCAGTGGCATGGGCATCGGGCAGAGGCGCTGACTCGGCAGGGCTCAGCTCGGAGGAGGACGTGGCGCAGGCCGTCGCCTTGCCTCCCTGTCCATGGATGGGTGGGCGCTATCACTGCCTCAGGCGGCCTCTCTGGATGGCCCCTTTGGGTTTGGGCTGGAGGGACTTGGGAAGGAAGCCAAGCTCGTTTGCTTGGCAGGTGGGCGCGTACCCCTGGCTCGTTTTCCTAGCTCTGCCTAGCCCACACAGCTCTAGCGCGGCCCTGGTGGGATGAGCAGAGAGCCTGGTGGGGAGGCGCTCACTGCCTTGGCGAGAGCTCCGCCACCAGGCAGGAGGGCCCGACTGTCAGCTGCGCTGGGCACCCCAAGCAAAGCTCTTTGCGCTCTTCCCGGCACTGATACTACCTTATCGGTAGTAGGGCGTCATTTTTAAAAGAATTGGCTTTGCCTTCGAAGGCGAAGGGAAGGCGGCAACAGGAGTACCTGAAGCCAAGTGTCTCTGCCAGGCTCCGGTTGTAGGGAGGAGCCCTGGCTGGCCACGTGTGACTGTGCCAAATGCCACAGTGTTGCTCTAAATGCTGTGGCAGCACGGGGAGAAGGGAAAGCAATGGTGGCTAAAGGTCTGCTGATATGAAATGCCCCACCAATGCTAAAATCAACGCAGGCAGCATCATATCCAGGTATGCAACAAAAGTATTTCCTAATGGCAAGCCCCCCCTGCCATTCCCCCCCATTTTGCATGTTTAATATAGGCTTTAATTTGAGGGGGGGGCTTAATTTGATTTTATGCCGATAAAACATGCTGGGACTTCCTATTGGGGGAGGCCATATTGTTGGAGAAACACTACACACACACACACACACACACACACACACACACACACATATATTGTGTTCATCTGTGAGTCAATATGACTGTCAGTCTGATATACAAGCCTGATGATGGCAGATGAGATTCTGCCAAAACGTTGCTACAACTTTAAAATTACAACTATAATGACGTGGGAAAATACCCGAACAAAGCTGAATACCACACGCGCGCGCGCACACACACACACACACACACACACACACACACACATATATATATATATCCAAATGTAGTTTATTGCAACACCACCATTTGATATGCACTGGATTTAGAATTGCACCATAATCCACAAATATTTTTCAATCTTCACATTGATTATAGATTTGCTTTTATCTTTAGATACTGGCTCTAGATAATATTTTGACTGCAGGATTTGGTTCCACTTATATTACTGGAGGAGAACCATTTTGGTGCAATGATTAAGACATCAGGCTAGAAACTGGGAGACCATGAGCTCTACTCCCACCTTAGGCATGAAGCCAGCTGGGTGATCTTGGGCCAGTCATTCTCTCTCAGCCCTAGGAAGGAGGCAATGGCAAATCACTTCTGAGTAACCTTGTCAAGATAACTGCAGGATTTGTCCAGGCAGTCTCTGAGAATCATACACAATTGAATGGAAGAAATAAAAATATAGAAATACTATTTGCAATATTTCATAGACTTCTAGCTGATCTATCTCAAGAAGAAACTTAGTAAATCTGAAAAACATATAGATATTGGCAACAAAATAAAAGTACTGTAAAATGCAAAGAGCTGCTGTGTTGGATCGTGGTAAAGTCTGAAACCATAAATAAAATATGTTCTGATTTCAGTCAAGTCTTATCCATACATTTATTTTATTGCTTCTTATCACCAGTTATCAAGCACTTTAGTTTTTATTACAATGTTTTGTTGTAAAGTTTACTTTAGTATAGCATAGTGTTTAAGTATGTTTCATCACTCTTAATCCAATACACAGCTATTTTTTATATATCAACAGTAATGATATCCTATATTTTATAGAAAATCTTAATACATAGTATAGACATGGAACAATATCTTAACATGAATACATTGTTTAGAATACAGAATATAGTACATAAAAACCTGTATAAAAATTGCACAAACACATATTAAGGACTCATATTTTCAGTGCCATGGAAAGAAAACTTATGGGAATCTAAACAATTGGACTTTGCTCAAAGGTAGCAACAACACAAAACTTGACCATCTCTCTGGAGGTTTCTATTGGCTGGTCAGCAAAAAGAAATAGTATTTCCTTCTCCTTTGACCCAATGGAGCTTATGTATAGATCCTACCAATCCAAACATATGCACAGTGCAATGGGCATGAGTCAAGTGTTAACTCAAAAATTGCTTGCATGCTGTTTAACTCATTTGCAGTGCTACTTTTTAAAGCCAGGTTTCATCAGGTTGCTCAAAACTCTATCTGAGGCCCAGCAAGGCAGCCTTTAGTTAATGCATATTGAACTATGGGCCAGCAAAAGATCAGTAAACATGGTAATGTATAATATTATAGTTATTAAATAAGCGTTGCAGGCATATTTAGAAACTCTAGTTTAATGTACAGTTACTGAGAATAATTGAAAGCTGCACCAAGTCTTTGCTTGGAAGACTTAGGAAATGGGAAAGAAAGATGATTGGTCGGTTGACTGATGATATCATAATCAACAGCCATTTTCATTGAGTGATTTTTTTTCCTTAATTGAACTTCAAAAATTGTATGACATTTTGTTTCATTTTCAATGGTGTATTCAACTTTGGATTAAAAATAAATAAATAACACAAATATTACAAAAAAATATTTTGTTTGTAATATTGACATCCTGAATCATAACTGATATTGATGGACTAGCTAGAAGTTCATATCTAAGTTAATAGTCACAAGTTCCATTTCATAATTATTCATTGTGCATTGCATAACATATTTAATATTAGTCTTTAAGGATTAATAAAATATCCACTTCTTCCTTAAATAATTTTCTCCACTACTGAAGCTTCAATACTTCTAAGCTTTTATGGTAGTGATCAAAATTCACGGCCATTTTTCACAGCAATCTGACAGTCAAACTTAATAGACTTCTTCACTTTATACATGGTTAATCTTTCATCACAGAAGAATAATGAAAAGATAACTTGCGTGAAACAATTTAGCCTTGTTGTAAGATGCTGAACTGTAATGAAGCATAATGCTAGTTGAAAATATCAATACCAACCTTTATGAGAAATCAGCTGGTCAAAAGATTCAGCCCATTTTTTTACAGTTTCAGGAGTCTCACTGCACAAGATAAAAACAGAGGCATCACCTATTGTGTGCATACTTTCATATTTTCCTAAAATATATTATCTCCAGTTAATTTCAGTCTGTCATATTTCTCATGGTATTGAATAAGAATTTCTTAGAAGAAAAAAACTTCAAAAAGTTTTTGATCTAATTTTACTGATGTTTTTCCCATTAAATTAGGAAAAGAATCAATGTATTGGAAAGAAGTGCTGTCTTCTGAGTCATTTTATTGTACACCCTTAATCTTTTTAAGTAAGTAAATGCATGTTTGACATCTTTATTTTTTTTAAATAAATAAACAACCAAACAAACTATTTTGTTTGGTGAAATGGCAGGTGAAATGGTTTTCGAAGGAAAGAGAATTGTTCATACTGAGATGTGGTTTTGAATACTGCCAAAGACACTATGACCACAGGCTATTTTTAACATTACACAGGAAGCTTTATGGTATTCAGAAAGAAGGATGCAATAGCTGTGGTGCCAGGACATAAGCACACAATTTGCTTACAGCAATATTTTTCATCAAATGCCATGCTATTTTGGAAGGACTCATATTTAATTTAGAAGATGAGAAAGAAGGTTTTTTTTCCTTCTTTTTCTTTTTCAAAAAAGCCAACTATGTCAAATTGTCCATAGTAGTCACTGGTCTTTGACATTGTAGCTCAGAGAAAGATACACCAAAAAGTCTCAACCATTCTTCTGCTAAAAAGTCTGGGAAGTGACCTTTTCAGGTATGTGCTGGGCTGCTTTCACAAGCAGTTGAGAAAATTCGATTTTAGATAGATCATAATAATATGTGGTACAGCCTTGGAGAAATGTGCAAAATAAATTAACTTAGAGGGAAATTAATTTGCAGAGGGAAACAAATAGTGAGGATATAAAGACAATAGCAGGCAAGGTGAGACAGAGCAGATTACCTTTTGCAACCTTCTTAGCTGACTTCTGACAAGCAAAGTCAATGGGGAGCTGCATTCGCTTCAGTACTGCATGACTTGTTTAACAATTGCAGAGATTCAGACAGATAGGTACAGATAATCAGAGTTAGAAGGGACCTTGTAGGTCATCTAGTCCAACCCCCACCCAAATGGGAGACCCTACAGCATTTCTGACAAATGGCAGTCCAATCTCTTCTTGAAAGTCTCAAGTAATGGCGCTCCCATGACTTCCAAGGGCAAGCTGTTCCGTTGATTGATTGTTCTCACTGTCAGAAAGTTTCTCCTTGTTTCTAGGTTAAATCTCTCCTTGTTCAGTTTCCATCCACTATTCCTTGTCTGGCCTACAGGAGCTTTAGAAAATAGCTTGACCCCTTCCTTCCTGTGCAGGGGCAGCCCCTCAAATATTGGAAGACTTCTATCATGTCTCCCCTGGTCCTTCTCTTTACTAGACTAGCCAAGCCCAGTTCCTGCAACCGTTCGTTGTATGTTTTAGCCTCCAGTCCCCTAATCATCCTGGTTGCTCTTCTCTGTACTTTTTCTAGAGTCTCAGCATCTTTTTTGTAATGTGGTGAACAAAACTGGATGCTGTACTCTAGGTGTGGTCTTACTAAGGCTTTATAGAGTGGCATTAGTACTTCCCTTGATCTTGATTGTATCCCTCTGTTAATACAATTTAGGATTGCATTAGCTTTTTTGGCTGCTGCTGCACACTGCTGGCTCATATTTGGCTGGTTGTCCACTAAGACTCCAAGATCCTCACAGTTACTGCTATTGAGCCTGTTTTCACCCAGTCTATATATGTACTTTTGGTTTTTCTTGCCTAAGTGTGGGACTTTACTTTTCTCTATATTGAATTTCATTTTATTAGATATGGCCCAGTGTTCTACTCTGTCAAGATCCATCTGGATCTTGAGCCTATCTTCTTGGGTGTGAGCTATTCCTGCCAGCTTAGTATCATCTACAAATTTGGTAAGTTCTCCTTCTATTCCCTCATCTAATCGTTAATGAAGATATTGAAGAGTACAGGGCCTAAGACGGAACCTTGTGGCACCCCTCTGCTTATTTCCCTCCATGTAGACTTAGACCCATTAAGGACTACTCATTGAGTACAGTTTTGCCAGCCAGTTGCAAATCCACCTAGTGGTGGTGCTATCTATTCCACTTTTTTCTAGCTTACTAAGAAATAGGTTGTGGTCTACTTTATCGAATGCCTTGCTGAAATCTAAATATATTATGTCCACAGTATTTTGCTGGTCTACTAATTTAGTCACTGTGTTGAAGAATGAAATAAGATTGGTTTGGCATGATCTGTTTTTAACAAACCCGTGCTGCTAGTTATTACTTTACTTGTTTCTAGATGTTGGCAGATCTGTTTTTTTTATTATCTTTTCCAGTATCTTCCCGGGTATTGATGTTAGGCTGATTGGTCTATAGTTTCCTGGGTCTGTTGTTTTTTTCCTTTTTGGAAGATGGGAACCACATCAGCTCTTTTCCAGTCCTCTGGTAGTTCCCTGGTGCTCCAGGATTTTTGAAAGATATGGTGCAGTGGTTCTGAGATGACCTCTGCCAGCTCCTTTAAAACTCTGGGATGTAATCCATCAGGCTCCAGTGATTTGTTTTCATCTAGATCAGACAGGTGTTCTCTTACTATTTTTTTTGCTTATTTTAACTTTTATTTCTGGTCTGTCTTTTACAGTTATGTTTTTGGTGGGTTGAGCTATAGTTTCTTTTTGCGTGAAGACAGAGGCAAAGAATGAGTTAAGCAGTTCTGCTTTCTCTCTGTTGCCTGTTACTTCCTTGTCGTCTTCTCTTTTTAGTGGACCGACTGTTTCCTTGATTTTTTTTCTTGTTATTTATATGTTGGAAGAAACTTTTTTATTATTATTATTGACTTTTGTTGCAAGTCTTTGTTCATTCTGAGCCTTTGCTATCCTGACTTCATCTTTGCAGAGTCTGGCTATCTGCTGATATTCTGCCTTAGTTGTATGTCCTTCTTTCCATTTTTTGTACTTGTCCTTTTTTTCTTTCAATTTGCCAAAGAGATCTTTGTGTAGCCATGATGGTTTCTTCTTGGATTTCTTGTTTTTCTTTCTCAGTGGTATTGTGCTAGTCTGGGCTTCTATGATCATACTTTTTAGAGTTTCCCAAGATTCTTGAGTTGTTTTCCCCTTTTGGATTTTCATCCATGGAATCTTTCCCAAGTTCTCTCTGAGTCTATTGAAATCAACTCTTTTAAAATCCAAGACTCTGGTGTCATGTTCTGTTGTTTGTGTTTGTGTTATGTTGAATTCTAGTATGACATGGTCACTCTCACCCAAGGTTCCTGCAGTTTCAACTCTTTCTATCACTTCTTCTCTGTTTGTAAGAATTAAATCCAGTATGGTTGTCCCTCTAGTTTCACCCTCTACTTTTTGGACAACAAAGTTGTCAGCTAGGCTGGTTAGGAACTTATTTGATTTCTCACTTGGTGCAGAATTAGTTTTTGAATTGATATCAGGATAATTGAAGTCTCCCATTACTATTGTTGTGTGTTTCCTGCATATGTTTGTTAGTTGGTTGGCAAAAAGGACATCTATTTTTTCTGCTTGATTGGGTGGCCTATAACATACGCCTGTGGCCATGTCGTTCTTTTTTTCTTTTATATTGACCCATATGCATTCTAGGAAGTTTTCATCTTTGGTTTCATGCATTTCTGTAGCAATATAGTGGTCCTTTACACTTAACAACCATAGCAAAAATGTTCATAACATCAGGTAAGATTCCCTTAACAACAGCTTTACTTAGCAGTGAAAATTCTGATCCTAATTATGGTTGTAAGTGGAGGACTTTTTAATGTCTTTTTTAATATAAATCAGAAGCCAATTCACAAATATTTATCCATTTTATAGATGGGGACACTGAACTGTAGACTAGTCTTCAGAATGTCAGTGAACCTATAGCTGAAAATATACACATATAAAAAGCAGATTTCATAAAGGTATATACACTGAGAAAAATAAGCCTATGCAAAGAATATGTGACAATTAATAAATTAAGACAATATTTCTTAATATCAGAAACATTAAGATGCATGGATTTCAACTACCAGAACTCCCGAGCCAGTATGCTGGGTGAAAAATGCTTTGAGTTGAAGTATTAAGCCAATTTATATCTTACATTTACTATTTTTACAAAACACACGTAGAAAAGAAAGAAATAATCACAAAATCAAACTAAACAACAGTACAAAAAGGATTGTGGGAAGATGTGGATCCTGCAAAAAAAAAAAAGAAGACTTTTTTTCAAAAAAATATAAGAATTCTATTAAGAATTTCAAAAATTCTGTGAGATCTCATAAGCATGATATGTTCATGTATCCATCTTTGATGAGACCATCACTAAGCTGCACAATGGTGCAAAGGAACTGAAAGATGTTCCTAATCTCTATCAAAACATGGTGATGAAGCATCATATCAGTACTATGCTGACACCTCTCCCCCATTTCCCCTCAAATGTTTCAGTTCTTTAATTTTTCTATTTTTGCCTTTTTTGCTTGCAAGTTCCTTTAGCTTTTTAGAGGCAGGGTTTTTGAACATCTTTCATTGTAGTAAAGTGATACTAATAGTTGTTGAATATACCCTATCTATGCCAACCTGTCCTGGTGGAGCTATGCTATCACCATATCATGAAGTCCATATCATGTGATTTAAACTTGGAGATTTAGCTAAAAAGAAACCCTCCCTTGATGATCATCTTATTACAATAAGTAGAAGGAAAATCTATATCTTACTCATTAAACCTTTTATGAAACTTTCTCAATAGAAAAACAAAACAAAACACAATTTCCAGTTATATTTATACGTAAGCATATATGTATGTATATATATTCATTCCAAAACAGGTCTCACCTTGATGCTTTTGCTAGTTGTTCAAATTTGTCAAAATTCATATTTGGGTGCAATTCAGACTTATGCAAGTAACTTAGCCGATTCCTCTTTTCAAGAGACCTACAAGAAAATGAACGTTACTGCAGTAAGATTTTCAAGCATTTCTCTTTTACCAGCTTAGAGTGCTCTGCAAAGCTCATTGTTTCCCTTTCACATATGATTCCATAAATGTTGATGTTATTTTCCCATTTGCAGGAGAGAATAATAGATTTCTCACTTACACCTCTGAATATTTTTACATACAGAATCATCTGCAAAGGGTAAATGAACATCTTTTCATGTTGATAGTCTTTCACATTTACTTTGGTGACAAGATCAGTAGGGACTTGAGAGTGGGAAGGAATAGGTTTAATTTTAGTGAAGCCAGGCTGAGATCATGAGCTTCTGATACTGTGCTGTATAAAATCAGATAACAGAGAGGAAATTCAGTAGCTGAAATGATTAAAATGAAACACATTTCATGATGCATTCAATGACATTTAAATGTATAAGCTAGTATATCACTGCCACAGAAAGTGCTGCTTGCTTTGATAATATTGAATGATGCAAAGTAGGTGATGATGTGGTATAATAATGGCTTTCCATTCCTCTGTTCCTGATTCCTTGGTTGCCATATCATAGGATTTGTACAAGTAGAATGCTATCATCTCAAGGGACAACAACAAATGGAGGTGGAACTTTTAGCCAAACCACCCATCCATTAAAACTAATATTAGGACTTTTTTTCCCCCTTGCACCACTATTTTTTTATGCTTTCTTGTCAGCATTAACTCCTGTTGACTGTCTGAATAAGCCCCTGAAGTTTTCTTGACAAGATTTTTCAAAAGTAGTTTGTGATTGCCTGCTTTGTAGAACTGAGAGGAGGTGATTGGCTCACGATCATCCAGCTGGCTTTATACTTAAGGAGGAACTAGAACTCATAGCCTCCCAGTTTTTATCCTGATGTATAACCTTAGCTCTCTTGTACCACATTATTTGTATTGTATTTTAGTTACTATAATGAATATAGAAAAAGAGAAGTAATGTATCCATAGGTGTATACATCTATTTTTATGGATACAACATTTGGCATCTGAGTAGCATTCTTGACTTACAAAAAGGAAAGTACAAAAAGCTAAACCTCAGTTACATTTAATCTGATGACATTTAATCTAATGTTCAAGCATTTCAGAATTTCATCCTTCTTTTTCATTATAAATAGCAAAGTTTTCTGGAGACCATAGCCAAAGTTTGGAGAGTTGAATACAGGTTGTGTATTTAACTGGTACAACCTGGTTCTCCCAAAATATAACCATGCAGCTTGATAATTCGAGGTATTGCATCCAAAGCTTCTAGATGGCATCAAACCTTGCTTATTTATTAAACAAATTTATACGGCTGTCTATCTAAGCAATGGAACAATGAACAGTGGATAAAAATACAATGTAAATTCAAATCCAATTTATCAAGGTCCTTGTAAGAAATTTCTTGCCCACATAGCACATGCACAATGCTGGGTCCCATAATAATCTAGCCCCAATGCCTGGGGGTGGGGGAATCAAATATTCATGGCTTTCTTGAAGCCTGGCAAGTCAGGACTATCTCTGTGGGGAGGGAGGAAAAACTGTTCTATAACGTGGAATATAGAGACAGTCTTGATGGAAATATTCAGAAACTGTTACAAAAAGAAGAAAAGACAGAGGTATTCATTAGGTTTTATGAAAAAAAACCTAAGGTATAGATTCAGCGAAGAGTCAGCCTGAGTCATTTCCTAAAACTTAATGAATATTGAGAGAGGAAAAGCACACTCTGTCCATAGTGTGTATCTCAATGAAGCTTAGTTTTATTCTACGAACTGTGGTGGTTCAGTCGTTAGAATACATTATTGCAGGCCACCTCTGCCCACAGTTTAGAATTTGATCATGACCAGCTCAAAGTTGACTCAGCCTTTCATTCTTCCAAGGTCAGTAAAATGAGGACCCAGATTGTTGGGGGTAATATGCTAACTTTGTAAAGCATGTAGAGAGTGCTACAAAGTGCTACGGAACGGTATGTGCTATTGCTAATAGTCTAAGTGCTATTGCTATTGCTATTTTGTGGAGTTTGTTTCATGATGTGGACGACCTCAATGGGCTGAAAATAAGGCAGGTAGCATGGCAGAGAAGGCACAGTTCGTAGGTTCCACCAGTGACATTGGTCACCCAGAAGACACAGAACATGCCAATCTGACAGATTTGGATAGACCACCAAAGATAAGCAATCCTCTAAGTGTTTAGAAAAACATTTAGCTTTATATACATAATACCCAACATGACACTTTACAAACTAATTTTTTAAAAAATAATCAAAGAACTTTGAAATTTTGTAAGTATTCAATCAATATGCATTATTTATACAGTACATCACAGTCTACCATAACAATGTAACTAAGGTTTTGTGTTTGTGTGTATGTGTGTGTGTTTTCAAGTATTATTATTAAACCTCAAAAGACTGACGTTTGTCTACTACTTTGCATGTATGGATTCTTTGTATTTATTCAAATCATCATATATATAAACAAGAAACCACTTCCTCACTTTCCAGTGTTAAAGATATGAGTGCTGCTGTTTACATAACCAAAATGCACCAGCTATCAGTTGTGCCCAGTACGGAAGTGTTAGCAGTCTTAAGGGAAATCCAAAATTTGCAAGAGTGCAAATATTTAAAGGGGGAAAAATGACTCAAAGAGAATCAGTATGATGATATCATGAGGCCTGAATATGTGCCCCAGGCATGGAATAATGAAAATTACTGGAATCTTGAACATAGAATATTTGCATTGCAATTATGTTGCAGGTTTCATTTGCCACTCTATGCTGACATTCTAGGATCTGTAAGGATGATCCCATGTTGGCATACCTTTTTAATGTGAATAGCCACACACCAGCAAAACTTGATAAAACCTGGACTACTCCAAGGTACTGCTGTAAATGATCTTTTTTTTTCCTCTTTGACTGGATGCAATAATAAAATCCAGCCAAGAGGTATAGTTCTTGGTTGCATTTTTTTAGAAATGTTGTGCTACCAGAGTTCATAGTGTGAGAAAGGGAAAAAAGTTTTGGAATCACTGGATCCCGTCCATCACGACAGTTTGCAAGGGAGATACGGGGCATCATAAATACAATACAATAAAATAGACTGGCAGACAAGGAAACATCATCATGTATTGGCTTTAGATACTTGGGGGAAAAAAACAATGCTCAATTGCCATGCAGGATTTCAGAGCAGCACTTAAAGAAAATCAAATGGTATTGGAGGATCATTAAATTAAATTAACTAAATTATTTCTTAATTGTGTTTCAAAGAACGGTCCTTCAATAGGCAGAAGTAATATGTTTTCCACTTCACATTTTCTCAGTATTGTTGGCAGTCAGAATGGAGACTAGTGTTCTGAGACAGATTGTTTAGCAAATACACATCACTAAAGTTGAATTTAATCAAGATAGTGAATGTTGTTTTCTGCCTAAAGGACACATTGATCTGAGTTGATAACCACTTATTTTTACTCTTACCAATGTTAACATCCATATTTTTATTTTGGGAGAGGGGATGCTTTTGACTGTGGGCAGGTACTTTGTCATGCTTATCCCTGATACCAGATCTTGTGATAGTTTTGTAGAGAGATCTTTAGTTCTGATTATGAATTAGCTAAACATCTTTCATTTTGTCTTCAAAAGGAGGAACACATATCTCTACTGAATTCTGATCTCAGTGATTTGGAACCATTTAAATTGTTACTGCATTGTTTTATTTTGCTCTTCATCAGATAGATATACTGGCCTCTTTATAAAAAAACTTCTAAGCCAATTAACTGAATAGCTTGGGTTTGCTTGAAAAAAACACAGTTCATTTTCTTTCATATTTTTATTTAAACATTTTCTACTCTGTCAGAGTCACATTGTTGGAGTTGGGAAGCTATACAAACATTCTAAATAAATAAATAACATTCGGATTTTAACAGACCCTTTCAGTAGTATGCTCTTTTCTGTGGATTGGCACCCCCCCCCAAAAAAACCCTAAAATATGTAGATAATTTCAAAAGTTTTTCACTTCATGCTATGCATTTGACCAAATGTGTACCAGTTTCTGCATTTGTCAACATTTGTTACCTGCAATAAGAAATAGTAATTTTTGCATGACTGCAGACTCTTCACTACATCTTGATATTTTGGGGGGAGGGGAGGGTGTAAGGATTGAATAAAGCTTGCATTGAAACAAGAACATGCTCTTATCTTCCCTTTAGCTGCAAAAGGCTCAATGGAATTTATTCCCTCCCTCATCATTTCTTTCCATTCTTTGAACTGTACATCAGTGCTCACTTCTTAGACTTCTGGCCTTCTCTCTTCTTTTCAAAGCTCTATCCTACATGCTATTTCTGCCCTGAGTAGTGGAATGCAATCTGGACTCAGGCATTTTGTTGTTTTTCACACTGAGCAAGAAAATCAAAAAATAATGAACATTCAGTCTCTTACCTGTTTCCTGTGTCTGGCTTTGCCCCTTCTCTATTCAAGGATTTCATGATTTTACAGAGAGTTTTCACTCTTGATGCCGAGTTGAGCTGAGAGGATAAAACCAATGGATTCTCCATTTTGTGTGTAAGCAGTCCGTCAGATTAGATCTTCCTCTGATCTTCTTTCCGTTGCACGTTAATAAATCCTCAAGGACTGGATTGCTCTTTTTTATGTTGCACTTACTTTGAAACTTGATTATTTGGCATGGGCTATTCAGTTTGTGAGATGTTCCACCACTACAGTCCTAGCTACTGTGATAAGCACACGTGACCTTTTAGAGAAGTTTTTTTTTTTTTTTCACCCAGAAGTCATTTCTTCAAAAGAGAGATTAGAAATAAGCTTATGTTTTGCAAGTTGGAAAGATAAACATAGGCCTTCCCTCAACTTGTGGTTGTAGCTTGTGGTTAGCAGATATGAATGCGATATTTGGTCAAACAAGATGGCTTTTAGCACACTATACTGAGAACTAAACAAAATCAGCCACAGAGAGCAGCAAGAGGGAAAATTGATATGATTTCCTCTTATTACAGTTTTTTTAAAAGCAGAACTTAAAATAGCTTAAAGTAGTTCTTCAGTCAGGCATTGATGAAGACACATATTAACTTCAATCTGCTGTTTGAGTGCTTTTTAAAAACTATTTTATTTATTTCATAGACATCCAGACCTACTCCTAAGAGGTCAAGACCCTGTGAATGGGCTAATGTTGTCTTCATCATATGAGAACTCTGTGAAGGAGGTTAGACTGAGTGGCAAAACACAAGTGGCCCTTGGATTGTGAATTTTTGATTGACAGTCTTTCACCAACAATTTTTAAATCAAAGTCTGGCTTGTACATATATTTCCTTCAAGCACATATTGTACCCACTTAATATGAACCACAGCTACCATTCTTTATCCTGTCTGAATAACAGCTCTACAAAATGTAACCAGAATTTGAGTCAAAAATTCATTGTGAATTTCTACAGTTACTTTAGAACTACATGAGTTGGAAACTGTGTAGTATGAAACCCAGCTTTGAAAAGTTTGTATGTGAGAAATTGCATTTTGTGTTGAACCTCAGAATCCTGTTTCACATCCTATAATTTCTAACTAGCCATGGAAACATTTAGTAAAAATGAACACTACAGACATGCCTATCTTGTTTCTCTATTTTAACATTTTGCATTCTAATTTTTCTCACATACAGGTGAAACTCAAAAAATTAGAATATCGTGCAAAAGTTCATTTATTTCAGTAATGCAACTTAAAAGATGAACCTTATATATGAGATAGACTCATTACATGCAGAGCAAGATAGTTCAAGCCATGATTTATCATAATTGTGAAGATGATGGCTTACAGCTCATGAAAACCCCAAATCCACAATTTCAGAAAATTAGAATATTACATGCAATCAATAAAACAAGGATTATACATAGAACAATATTGGACCTCTGAAAAATATAAGCATGCATATGTACTCAGAACTTGGTTTGGGCCCCTTTTGTAGCAATTACTGCTTCAATGTGTCATGGCATGGAAGCTATCAGCCTGTGGCACTGCTGAGGTGTTAGGGAAGACCAGGATGCTTCAATAGCAGCCTTCAGCTCTTCTGCATTGTTCGGTCTCATGTCTCTCATCTTTCTCTTGGCAATGCCCCATACATTCTCTATGGGGTTCAGGTCAGGCGAGTTTGCTGGCCAATCAAGCACAGTAATCCCACGGTCATTGAACCAGGTTTTGGTGCTTTTGGCAGTGTGGGCAGGTGCCAAGTCCTGCTGGAAAATGAAGTCAGCATCCCCATAAAGCTCGTCTGTGGAAGGAAGCTCCAAAATCTCCAGGTAGACGGCTGTGTTGACCCGGGATTTAATGAAGCACAGTGGATGACATGGCTCCCCAAATCAACACAGACTGTGGAAACTTCACACTGGACTTCAAGCATCTTGCAGTGTGTGCCTTTCCATTCTTCCTCCAGACTCTGGGTCCTTGGTTTCCAAATGAGATGCAAAAGTTGCTCTCATCACAAAAGAGGACTTTGGACCACTGAGCAACAGACCTGTTCTGTTTTTCTTTGTTCAGGAGTGGCTTGACAAGAGGAATACGACATTTGAAGCCCATGTCCAGGATCTGTCTGTGTGGTGGATCTTGATGCACTGACTCCAGCCTCAGTCCACTCCTTGTGAAAGTCCCCAACACTTTTGAATGGCCTTTTCCTGACAATCCTCTCCAGGCTGCGGTCATCCCTGCTGCTTGTGCACTTTTTTCTTCCACACTTTTCCCTTCCACATAATTTTCTATTAATGTGCTTTGATACAGCACTTTGGGAACATCCAACTTCTTTTGCAGTTACCTTTTGAGGCTTTCCCTCCTTATGGAGGGGGTCAATGATGGTTTTCTGCACAACTGGCAGGTCAGCAGTCTTTCCCATGATTGTGCTTCCTACTAAACCAGACTGAGAGACCATTTAAAGGCTCAGGAACCCTTTGCAGGTGTTATGGCTTAATTAGCTGATTAGAGTGGGACACTTTGAGCCTAGAATATTGAACCTTTTCACAATATACTAATTTTCTGAGATTGTGGATTTGGGGTTTTCATGAGGTGTAAGCCATAATTATCACAATTATGACAAATCATGGCTTGAACTATCTTGCTTTGCATGTAATGAGTCTATCTCATAAATTAGTTTCACTTTTTAAGTTGCATTACTGAAATAAACAAACTTTTGCATGATATTCTAATTTTTCAAGTTTCACCTGTAGTTCTTTTCAATTAATATAATATTTGCACAGAATGTATATATATTCCCCAGTTCCTATGAAATGGCGCTTTTAATGGGCTGGTGCAATAGCATCTGCTTTTTATGTCTAAACAATTTGAAGAGCTTCTATTTTATTAATCCATTTATGTTAGTTTGTATTTTAATGCTTGTTTATGACATATAATAAAAGTATTTGTAAAAATAATAACTACTGCTATCAAATTAAATATAAGCAAATCTGCATTCTACTCAGGGCAGAAATAGCATGCAGGATAGAGATTTGGAAAGAAGAGAGAAAGTCAGAAGTCTAAGAGGTGAGCCTGGACCTACAGTTCAAAGAAGGTCTGTAATACTTTTATAGATTTTACTCAGAATAGCAATAGCACTTAGACTTATATACTACTTCATAACGCTTTACAGCCCTCTCTAAGTGGTTTACAGAGTCAGCATATTGTCCCCAACAATCTGGGTCCTCATTTTACCCACCTCGGAAGGATGGAAGACTGAGTCAACCTTGAGCTGGGTGAGACTGCCAAACTGCTGGCAGTCAGCAATCAGCAGAAGTATCCTGCAGTACTGCATTCTAACCACTGTGCCACTGCGCCTCTCAAAATTCTATTTTGTTCCAGAATAAGCTGTAGAGTTTTTTATTTGTTTTAATTAAAACACTTCTTCTAAAACATGTTAATACATATGTAATGGTGTACTTGTGTAAAATAAACATTAAATATCTGTCTTTTTCAAGTTATGTTATTTAAATGTGCATTTAAGTCATTGAAATAGACCAAGCAGACTTTATATTATCTAATTGGGTGGATTGTGAATGTTGGAGTAAGTCTGTAATATGATGGCAACTATTACTACCTATTACTACCTTACTTAATATTGTTAGTATGCAGTGCAAATGTGACTATTTCCCCAAAGACCCATGAATTTCCTTTCATTAGAAGCTAAATATACAAGTGAAGTGAATGATAAGAGGAGAGACTAATGAGGTTGAATGAGACAGAGAAAACCAAGCCCATATCAGAAATAAAAATGTTTAATGCCAGGAAGACTGAAAATAATCTCAGGAAGGAAGAAATAAAAAAAGTAGCAAAGAAAACTTCCAAGATGAAGCAATGGTGAAAAAAAGAGTAAGAGGGAAAGTGTAAATAACAAAGGAAATTAGTCCACTTAGTATTAACATTACTGAAGAAAGTGCATATACTGTTTTACTTTCTATTGCAGACAAGCCCAGGGCCAATCCTACAGAAGACTGAAGCAACTGCCTTAACCCTCAGATGCTGGAAACCACATGCCATTCCATCTGTGTCTCTGAATAAAAAAATAACAGTGTGGGAAGGGACCTTCCAACCCCCTGCACAAGCAGGAGATCCTATACCATTCTAGACAAATAGCTGTCCAGTCTTTTCTTAAACGCCTCCAGTGATGGAACTGTCTGGAGGCAAGCCATTCCACTGGTTAATTGTTCTCACTGGTAGGAAATGTCTCCTTAGTTCTAGATTGTGCCTCTCCTTGATTAGTTTCCATCTATTATTTCTTGTCTGCTTTCTGATGCTTTGGAAAATAAAAAAATATGCTCTAACTAGGAGCAGAAAGCCTCACAGCTAGCACTGCACTCAAGTAGCAAGATTAAAACACCAGCACGATGGACATCTGTGGATAAAGCACAGGAAGGCATCATCTTATCCCTTGCTTCTAATAGCACAGTATCTTACACTGGCCTAATTTTTGCATGCAAAAATATGAACTTGCACAGGTTGACCTTCTTGTTTAAATCTCATTTTGTATGCTTGCAAATGTTTTATTTCCTTCTCATACATTTCCTTTAACAAAGCAATATTGATTGATTGGATTTTTAAAAGATAAGATCCATATCTGGCTTCATATGCCTTCATCTGATATCCTCTTAGATCATTTGGAGACCAAGAAGCTTTTTTAGAGGACCTTAATAAAAGCAATACTTAGGATGGCTGAGTGAAATCATTTCCTTGTATGCAAAACACTAAATAAATTCAGGCAGCCTGCTTCATTTTCTTGCTTTGTGTCTATTTGCAGGAAAATGTGGACTAGATGGATTTGGTTTGTTTATTTATTTAATAAAAAGGGACCACTCCAGATGGTACTCGCTATCATTTACACTCTATGCAAATATTTTCATTATTCTCATAGCTGAAATACATTTTTTTTAAATTCATTGTTATGAGAATTTTATTATACACAGTAATATAGTGATGCCTGTACTAAAACCATATCAGAACCAAGCTTGCTCAGAGATGGGAATGACATTAACTTGTGCTACTGAGTCCCTCCCTCCCTATCACAGGAAGTCCTAAGAGGACAGCAGCACCCTACACCAGGCAGACTGGCTGCCCACGGTTCCTCTGTCTTGCTGCTGCCCTGAATCCAGACACAGCTAGCTTACTTTGGCCCGCAAGCATGCATGTGGTTTGCAACTTCCTTCCCGTGGCAGAAAGGAATCTTTGGGCAGCAAAGAGTTTTGCTGTATACAGCAAAGTCTTTGCACTGTTTAGGTGTTTGATTCTATA